TCCCTAAAGAAGGCGGAGACCCCTTAAGGTAGGTACTACCTACGCACTCTTACCTAACTTTATTGGTTAAATAGCTATAGATATATGTAAAAGGGAATAGCACTCTAACTAGTACTTTTACGGCTAATCCCATTCCTATAGGAAGGGCTACTAAAATATAACTAGCTAGAATATCTTAAAATAGCACTTAAAACTCTATTAATAGCGTCTTAGTTTAGGTGCTTTAAAGATAAGATAGAATTTCTTATAACGGCTATAGAGGTTTCACTCCTTATTAATACCCCGCTTAGTCTCTTTTAGGTTAAATATCGACTCCTCGCCTTATAAAGAATCTATAATAAAATAAAACTACCGCTATTACTATAGCCTCTAGTCGAGCGGTTACCTATAGATAGTAATAGGTCTAACGTAATTATATAGAAGCTATACTTATTTAAGATATAAGCTATAGTTAATAACGGCGCTACTAGCGAAAATATTTAGGAATCTATTAGAATTATTTAGCCCTTCGACGAAAGATCTATATTATTATAAGAAAGGTATATCTTTTTAGAGGCCTAATTACTACTAGTCTAAACTCTTCGATTTAAGGGAAAATTTCCCTAAGCCTTATATATCTTTACTAATGTTAGGAAGGAGGCAATCGCTTTAGCCTATAGAAATGTTATAAAGATTAGCACGCAATATTATAAGATATTATACGAAGTAGGACATTATAGTTCTACTATTTAATAGGTTATCGAGGATATAAAGGTTATAGGATATAACTAGAGTTTAGAGTAAGGGTATAGATAGCGTCTTATCTTAGCTCGCGCTAGCGCTTACCTTATATATATACTCTAGGATATTAAGGGTTCCGTTAGGCCTAATCTATCTTATTTATAAGCGGTAGAGACGGACTTCTAATAGCTATATTATATCTATCGCTATATACCTACGCTAAGTAATACTATTAAAATAAGATTATTTTCTATCTAGTGTGGTCTTATAATAGTGTGCTATATCGAGGAGAAGTAAGAAGATGCCTCGTCTTATTAGGAGATAGCGAGAAACTCTACCGATAAGCTCTATCTTAATAAGGGCTACGCGTTTATAATTATAATATATTTATTAAGTTAGGTCTACTTCTACCTCGAGTATAGTAGCGTAGTAGATATATATAACGAGGCTAAAGAGCTATAGGATTCTATAAGGCCTATACGGTAATACTATTTTATTAGCCTTAGCTCGCTTTAGCTAGAGTTATTAGGCAATTAGGAGGACTAACGATATAGGGAGAGAATAATAGGTATATAGATTAACCTATAATCGATAGCGTTAAGTAAATAATAAAGTTAGTAAATCACGATATATAAGCTATTCTAACGTTTAATCTTATTCCTTCTAGATCTAGCTATAATAAGGATATTCTACTAGCTATAAAGCTAATACTAGTCTTACTATAGTCTTACTAAAACTATCCTAATTAAATAAAGACTACTAGTTATTAAAATATAGCTAACTTATTCGTCTTTATAAATTTCTTCTATAGCTTTATTAATAGGAGCAATCTAGGTTTTCCTATAGGGAAATGTCGTTTTCTATACCGCCTTATATTCCTCTATGCGAGAAGTATTTATAACGTTAGTGTCTAATATAAATATAATACTCGATAACCCCTTAATTGTAGATAGGGACTTTAAAGTGCCTAGACTATTATACTAGTCTAAATTAAGGCTAAATAAGAGATACTTCCCTATAGTGCCTTATAGTTAGTCTAGGATAGCTAAATAGCGTATAAAAAGTACTTATCTTAAATAGGAAATACTATTAAACTAGGTAGTAGTATAAAGTCCGCTTATTAGGTTATATATACTATTAAGACACTAAATTACGCTATTTTTTTATTCTATTTAAAAGCGCCCTAGCTAGGCGAAGTTTCGAATCTTAGCCTAGATATCCTCTTTAGAAAGTATATAACTAACTTACTTATAGAGGAATTCCTAATAAGCCTCCTAGGCTAGAGAGGCATTAACCCTTTATATTAAGACTAGGATGTCCTCGAGATCGGCTTAAATAAACCTAAGGCTAGTGCCCTTTATAGCTACACGATACTTTAAAATCTTAGAGACCTCTAAAACCTATAGCGATAATAAAGCTAGTGCGCTAGTTTTAAAGATCCCCCCTTTATACTATATAATATTCTTAATAGTCGGTCCGAGCTTATCTATATAATTAAGCCTAATCGTTATAGTAGCTATAATAGCCGGTTAATTAATAATATTTATAACGTCGTACTCGCCGCTATAGTAGGCCTTGTAAATAGCGATATTAACTCCCTCTTTAATAAATATATAGAATAATAAAAGAGCTAATAGCTAGAGAGATCGAGGGCTATTGCCTAGGCAGTCCTAGATTTTAAATAGGTTTTCGGCAAATTTAGTCTTAAAAATAGGGTTTACATTAAGGCGAATCCGTTCTATATATTTAATTAAATAGGGGGAAGTATAAAGGCTAACTCGCTTTAGGAATCTAGTTCTTACGCTATATATAAGAAGTATACTTTTAATATATATATAGGTACTACCTTTTCCCTTAGTCTTAGTAATATAAATTACCTTTAGTTTATTGAGATTACAATCCTTAAATCGGTTAGCTAAGCACTAAGAAATAGTCTAGGAGGCTATACCGTATATCTTAATTTATTTAGCTAGCCCTTTATCTTATATAGATAGGGAGTGCCTTAGAGCGTGGTCGTGCTATACGGTAGGGCAATTCGATATTGCGATAGCTTCCTTAATCGAGAGGCCTATAATTTAGCTAAAAGGGCTTTCGCATCCTATAAGAGTTAGAATTAGTACTAATTTCACGCTAGGAATAAGTAGTTACCTTAAAGTCCTAACCGATAGATACTATAATTTATAATATCTCTTATCGATAACTTTTCGAGGGCGTATACCTTAAGTAAGGAGGCGGGGAAAGAAAAAGCGCGCCTATATCGAAGTATAGATTACTATTAGAATAAGTAGCTAAGTCGTTAGCTAGAATAGGTTATTCTAACCTAAATAATAGGTCTAAGTGATTAAAAGACTACATTTATAGTTATTTTTTACCTATATAATCTATTATAATTAATAATATCGTAATAGTATAAACGGTAGAAATATTTACGTTAATATTTAAATCCCTATTTCCTTTACTAATGCTATAACTTTATTAACGAAGAGAAATAATATCGTGTTACGAAATCTATACCGATTATATTAAGTAACGAGCCGACCTAAAGAGGGATAGTATAAGATAAGTAAAGAGAGTTATTAAGGGACGTTTAAGAAGGGGCTAAGTAGACGCGAGTTTAATATAAAGGCATAACTAAAGGGAAAATAGTATTAATCGTTACCCTCCTTCCTTATAAGGAAGTCTAGCTTATATATAGGCTATAGGTCACGTAATACCCTTTAACCTATTTCCCCTCTAATAGATTGCTTTATATACAATAATGCTTTTATAGCTACTATAATAGTTATAATAAAATAAAATAACTCCCCTATCTTTTAATAATTTCTTTTTATAAAAGTTTATCTTATATAATCTATATTTTAGATACTAAGCCGGCCAATAACGCGTAAATATAGAATAAGGGAATGTTAGTATACTAGACGCAATAAATAGTAGACGATAAAGAGTGACTAGATATATTTACGTTTATATATAGTTATAGACCTTACACTCGATTAATTAATTGCCTATAGATACTATAATTAGCGTTCTACTATAAATAAAAGTCTTATTATAGTACCTTCTACCTATCTTTTATACTTCTTTATACGATCCCCTTTTACTAACTTTATAGCTTAGAGTTACTAACTATAGACGATAGCATTCCTTATAGAACCTATAAAGGACTTATAGCTAGGGTAAAGATTAATAACGATTACTTAAATTACTACTAGCTTTAAAGGCGTAGAAAACACATTATAAACGACCTAATCTTAATAAGTATACTTAGGTAATCGAAGTAAACTAAGTCTAATAGTAGTAGGTTAGAAATAATATAAGAAACCATTAAACTAGAGTAGAGAGGGAGTAATATAGAGAGGGCGAAGAGTACTTTATAGAGTAAGAAAGAGTTAGATAGATCTATATACTTTAATTTATAGTAGATAATTCTTTATCGTAATTACTTAATAAACATTTCGTTTATATAGGGACTCCCGCTAGGAGGACTTGTAGTATAATTACGATATTAATAAATACATTAAAGAAATATATTCTAATAGCTAATTATCACTAGTTTAAACTATCTAGTTCTTTTTATTATAAAAGTATACCTTTTAGATAACCGTCCTATATTTAATAGATAGGGGAGTATATAGTTATACTCCTAACACTACTTCTCTAACTACCCTATAGTATAGAGTCGTACTAACCGTTATATATAGTATACTATTAATTATTTCGCTAAATAAGAAATTTAATTCTTTTCTTAAGAATTTATCGTAATCTTTAAGCTAATATTCTTTAGGATAATATTTATCTATAGAATGTAGCGGAGTAGATAATAGCTATATAAGGGGCAAATAAGTAGATACTATCGTACGTATAATTAATATCTTAGAGGTTAACGTCTCGGCTACGCCCTAGCCCGCGATAGCGCCGGTAATAAGAAGACATAGCCGTTTTAAGTACGTAAGACAACACGCCATTATCCTACTCGTATCGGTGCGGTATTTTTATAATTAGCTATCTCACGATATAAGAGTTAGGGGGATATGTCTTAAGAGAACCGTTAATATCTTTATAGGAGAAGGGGGTACTTAATAGAAGAAGTTAGAGTACTTATATAGCCGTGAAGGAGGGGTCGGGCCTCGGCTAGGTTGGTGGCACGTGATGAGAAATTGGAGGAATTAGAAAGCGGGATCCCCGACTGCGACACACGAAATACGGTGATAGCGAGTGCGGACATACACACGACGAATACGGCATATCATCTCGATGTTGGCAGTATATTGTGAATGTGCCTACTGGTACGTCATGGCAGACGGGTCCATCCCCTTGCCCTCGACGAGGACACCCGCCTTCCGCAGGATAGACACGCAGCTGTCCACAACCTCTGGCTTGACGCCCTTGGTCGTAGCCGGGAATTCGACAGTGGACAGCCATTCACGCGCATCAGCCTCAGAGTAGTCGAGGCTGGTAGAGATGTACTGGACGGCCTCTTCCTGGTTCTCGTTAAAGTGGCCGATGCCCTTGTCGAGCTTGGAGAACAGGTCCTGGACGCGGGGGTCTAGTTCACCCTTGGTGAGGGCGGTCGACGCGACAATCTTCCAGCTGCTCCAAGGCGTGTAGATGTCGCCCACGCGGCGGATCTCCCCGTTGTCGTAGTACCGCTTAGACGTGAAGTGCTCCCACATGAAGAAGTCTGCGTCGCCCGAGTTGACGGCGCCGCGCAGCTTGTCGAATGTGTTGAGCACCACCGTGTCTGCGAACGGGGTCGACGACGACAGCCAACCCTGCTGGTCGGCAAGCACAAAGCCCATGACGTAGCTGCCCGAGCCGATGCGCGACACGCCAATGCGACGACCGGCCAGGGACGAGACGGACGTGATTTCAGGCCTGTCAGCCCCGGTAGAGATAGCCCAGCCTTGAGTTCAGATCATCTTGTCAGCATGCACACTGCCCGCATGGGATGGTAGATGGGGGGGGAGGGGGGAGGCGACGGCGGGGACAACATACACAGAGGCGTCTCAACATAGGTTCCCACAAGACGGTAACCTCCATCTCCCTCGACTCCCTCCTTACCCAGCCCCGCGATCCATCCCTCTGTCAGACCGATTCCTATGTCGATCTCACCGGCGCGGATCGCAGTCACCATGTGCCCCGTGCCCGAGGGGAAGGGTATCAGCTTGGCATCCAGGCCAAAATGCTTCTGCGCAAAGTGTAGCGGCGTCGAAAAGTGCTCGGGCACGAAGCCGATGCGGAGCAGCGTCTTTTCTGCCATGCTTGGACTGCCTTGGGACGGATTCTTTTGTGAAGTGCCGGTATCGCGTATAGTATTACGATTCCTTACTATGTGATATTATATTACTGCTCCGAATGTTGAGTCTGGGATGATTAATTGGCGTCTCGAACATGTGGGGTACATCATCTCAACCCCCACCATGAATTTTTCCAGGTTGATGGTTTAGCCTCTAGAGGACTATACACGTCGCGTCCCTCCCGATGACGTGACGATGATTACATCTACGTAAAGGGACTAAAGGGACCAGCAGCTGTTGTATTCTGGCGCCCAGGCGATGGGAAAGGCTCATGTACTTACACTGGAAACATTGAATACCATTCTTTACCGGCATCTTCGCTCCAGCAGGATTCTCCAGGGTAAGTAACTTCGGCTTCCCCCGTGGACGTATCTGTGCCGACTTTCCCCTATATCCAATCCAATGCGTGCCCGTCTGTGTCCACGGAAACAAATGGGGAGCCGCTTGCCGACCCACTATCAGCGTCGTCTTGATGACTGGTACCTGATATAGGAACACGGCAAAAACGGCATGTTTGATACAACCGACGAGACACAGAAGGCCGCCGACATGGGTGAAGTTGTGCGAGTATACGTCTGCGGCTGCCAATCACTGTGAGGCTATGCCGTTTCAGGCCAAGTCCTTTGGAGATTGACAGTCACGTGCTATTCATCTATCTGGGGAGCCATCCCCTTTAACGAGGCTTACATGCCGTATACAGGGATACCTCCCTCCGCTGTTCATCAAACCAATCCTATTCAAAACAGGATTGTGATGCAACAAAGGAGCCCCGAGGTCGCACGGAGACGGCCGAAACAAAGGAGAGGCGTCGCGGAGCTCATTGGCCGCGTCTACATCTATAGCAATGCATCCAGACCGTCTGAAAAAGCCCGTCTGAGCCCTCTCTTCTCTTGGGAGGGCCTTCTGGGCAAGCCGGTCCGGACCGCCATGGTCTTTTCTGCTTGATTTCTCTGTTGCCAGAATTGAATATATCATCATCTCTCCATCTGATATTGCTCACTCTCGTCCGGAACGGGGTGCTTACATGTCCTACTAGTCTCACCGCTGGCCCGGCGAACCGTCCATAATCATGTCGCTCACCATTGAACTCGGCGGCTACGACGAAGATGTGCCGTTTCTCAGCCCCCTGGCACGCCACAGCTTCGATGTCCAACAGGAGACTGACGACTCGCAAGATAGCGACAGCAGCTCTGTCGATGATGATGATGATGACGACTCGTCATCACGCAGGATCACCGGAGCAGCATGGTGGCAGGCTAGCTCTCCCTCGTCCATCGTCATCTTGCTCGCCCTCGTCAAGTTCACCTGCGTCCTGTGCGGCCTCCTGATGATGATGCCGGTCTACCAGTTCATCGAGGATACCTTTTGCCACATACACTACGGGGACGATTCGCCGGGCTTCATGGATGAGATGGCCTGCAAAGTGGACGAGGTGCAATCGTCGTTAGCCTTGATGACGGGGTGGCAGGGGCTTTTGGGTGGGGTCATGAGTGCGTTCGATCCTTCCTGTGCCTCCGGGGGAGCACATGCCTGGAACCGTCACTGATAGTCTACAGATCTGATCACCGCCTACCCCTACGGATTACTGGCCGACAGGATCGGCCGCAAGCCTACGGCCCTCTTCGCCTACGCCGGCAGCGCTGCGTCCTTCTACTTGACGCCCCTGGCCATGGGCCCGTCCAAGTACCTCGTCCGCGAGAGCCCGTACATCATGCTGTTCGGCACCGCTTTCGTGCTTCTCGGCGGCGGGATGCATGTCTTCTTCTCTACGATGTATGCCATGGTGTCTGATGTGAGCACGGACAAGGACAAAGCTTCCAACTTCCTGTACATCACCATCGGGTCCGCGGCAGGCGGTCTCATCGGTCCGCTCCTTGCCGGTCTCTTGATGGAGAAGTTTGGGCCGTGGGTTCCCGTCACGATCGTCCTGTACATCTCGCCCGTCGTGTTTCTCATCTTTCTCTTCATCCCCGAGACGCGCACCGGCAAGGAGATGAAGGGCGAACCGACCTCATCAAAACCCGCCTACGACGACGACCAGCCGACTCTGGTCGTGATCAAGGGTCACCTGAAGGACGGACTTGTCGACATGCGCAAGTCGCTGGTGATCCTGCGCGACCGCAACGTCCTCCTGTGCCTCGTCACCTTCTTCTTCATAAACGCTCGCTGGACGGCCAGCTCGTCGACGCTAGCGCAGTACATCAGCAAGAACTTCGAGTGGAAGCTAGCCGAGGCCAGCATACTGCTCTCCCCTCTAGGACTGGTCGAGATGCTCGTCCTCGCTTCTCTGCCGTTTCTGTCCAAGAGGCTCATGTCGAGCCGTAGGGGCTGCACCGCATTCGACAAGGACATGCTCATCTGCCGCATGTCCTTCCCCATGCTCTTCCTATCGGCTCTGATCCGCGCCGTGAGCCCCAGCGTCGTACCTTTTCTGTTCGGCCTATTCGTCGGGGCCTTTGGGGCCGCCCAGATTCCCGTCGCCAGAGCCATCATGTCGGCCCATGTCAACCCGGCCTACACCTCGCGGCTGTACGCGCTCACCTCCATGGTTGAGATTGCCGGGACCGTCGTGGGGGCGCCGGTGCTGGCATGGTGCTTCAAACGTGGCATGAAACTTCAGGGTGTGTTGACGGGACTTCCCTGGCTCTACCTCTCGCTCGTGTATCTGCTCTCGTGGGTGGCGCTGGGGTTCGTGCGCCCGCCACCCATGAAGACTTTGGAGAAGGATGGTGCATGTCGTCTGGACGGCGAGTACGGAGTTTAGAAAAAGTATAGGCACTGGGACTCTAATAATAGTCTGGCTGGCCCGCGGAGTTCTGGTCAGCGTTCCCTGAAGGATAATAGACCGCGGAGAAGGGGAGACATGGAAAGAGAGCCGGCTAGATGCTGTGCGTAGTACAAGTACATGGATCCTCACATCCTGCATGGATATAATATCACCTTACACATGACTGGGTTCGAGACAAGCAGAACGTCCCTTTTCTACATGTATAGTAAACACCCATATTGTAGAACTCTTTTCGAGGCAACGACCAGTCTGATTCGTCGTCGTACGATTACATGCAACCCATGAGCCCCGTGGACTTGTACGGTTCAAGACCTACGGGGGAGGGGAAGAGGAGAAGAAGCAGACGCGATGGATCAGCTACGGATATGTATACTGCTGCTAATCAAGTGGTGAGGTCATGCTCAATTTCAGCTGATTGCTAAGCAATACGAATCACGTCAACGGAAAGAAACAATGCATCTCTGACTCCCTATCTACCCGCATCCCGGAAGATGACATCTCTGTCTCTTTTTTTCAAGTATTAGAATATACTAAGATGAAGGTTTACTCGCATGTATAGAACAAGTATCAAGATGAGAGCTTTGGCAAGAGGGCAGCGTTGCATTGCCTCGCACCAAGCCCCCAACTTCAATTTATCGGGAGTATTCTACAGGCGACGCGTTGATCCGATTGCATGTATGTAAACCATTCGCGGAGAAGGGTATCTCGTCCATGTATCATGACGCTACCACTGTATTTGCCCAAAGTTTGATGACAGCAGAGCAACCGTGCGCCGTGCAGAGAAATGACTCTTGATGGTGGCAAGCCTCCACTCATATCCCTTGCCGACTGGCTAAAGCTGCGCTCGCTCCGTGGCCATTTCCATGCGCCCGAACCTTTCATCGCCAATGGCGCTCCGAAGTTATTATGATATGAAAGAAAAAGAAAGAAAGAAAAAAGAAAAAAAAAACTCGATGTCCAAGTGAGAGGGGAAGAAAACCGGGATCTGTTCCGAACATGCGAACGTTCAAGTTGCTGATCGCGTCAGCGCTTAAATCATCATGTACCCTCAACACAGCGTGCTATGATATCAATGCGCGCCTGATCCATGCGGCGTACCATTAAGAGAAGGACGTCGACTGGGCACACGCACGCGGTCCGCAATCGCAACCAGGATCACGGCCAGCTTTTCTCGTTCTTCCCTGCTCTTTCTTCTTTCGAGACCCAACTGCGTGGGATCAGGCATCTGCAATGGCCGCACTAGGGGGCCGGCCAGGTTGTTCCGGCATTCCCGAAACTGCAGGACCGTTTGCAGACGCATTGACTTTTTTTTCTTTTTCTCCTGCTGAGAGACGAGAAGGCATTGTTGACCTGCGTTGACAGGTTCGGGAATCTGTTACATGGGCAGGGCGGAGTCAAGGAAACAAGCAAACATGCTCACCAACCCTCCTGGCTGCGGGAAGAACCATGGTGTGTGTGTGTGTGTGCCCCGGCAGACAGCCCAGACACTCGTGTATTCCGAGTCCTGAGTAGCAGTGTTATCCCGAACTCCATCAAGTGGTTGACCAGGCGCAGTACGCATACTATCCACATGTGATAGTACTGCTACGAGCTTATGAAACCTTGGTGGGCCATGGAGACTGATGGACGACGGTGATGGTGGAGACGCTATTACCGAGAGGCGACCGTCGTTACCAATGAGGATTGGCGCTGGACGGCAGGTAATCCGTATAGACTATCACTACTCTGCTGCGTGTTGGCAGGCCAAGACTTGCTGGCTTCAAGTCGCTGAGATCGACATACCGTCGACTGAACTTGCAAGTCTGAAACCTCGAATGTGACGTTGATGGTGCTGCTACCCGCACTTCAAGTGTTCAGGTGTTGCCATCTGCATTGTTTTGTAAACGGAGACCGAATTCAGAAGGCTTCAGCTCCTAACAAGTCGAAATTGGGCGGACTACTCACACATCGGCGATCAGGTATGTAATATTATAGTGTTACTGGGTAATATATTGCATATGATAGATCGTTTTGGATGTGCGACAGACCCCCACGGGATCTGCGTCCATATACCAGTAGGGTGGACGGACGAATGGTCAGAGCTTAGGCCGACGCGCACGTCGTATTTAAGCACGATGGCTCAGATGATGCTCACAGTCGAACTTGAACCTGCAGCATACTGTCGGCAACGATGATCAGGTATTGCGAGCGTCGGCACTCGATACCAACGGCTCGTCGGAAGGCGTAATCACCGGCAAAGAAGAAGAAGAAGAAGAAGGAGAGAGAGAGAGAGAGAGAGAATCCTGTTCTAACGGCAAATGTGGGGAAGAAGAGCAAGCCACCATCTGCTACAACCGACGACGTACTCGGATGAATTCGTGGCATCCCTGAGTCCTTGAGTCGTGACAGGATGCTCCGTAATCGTTGCATGGTCCATGGATGAACCCTGACAGCCCAGCATCCGTACCCCTGCTGTTGTGATGGGACTTATAGGTGGAGGCTGAGAGTCAAGAGTCTATGGGTTGAATGCCAAGCGCCCCTGCAGATAAAGTAGAGCAACACCCTGATGCAGCCTGTCTTTCTTTATTCTCCCCCCCTGGTCGCTTGTTCGGCATCCCCACTAGAGTCTTGTCCCTGCTTAGTCCTCCTGAAGGGTTGAGGGTTCGGGAGTGGTGAATGCCGTCCTCAGCTATCATGTAGGACCGATCTCAATGCTCATGTCAATGTCAGATATTCCCGCATTTCTTCTACGAAGCACTGCCATGGTTATCAGCATTAATATCACGGCGTGAGCATTGTCCTGTTGCACGACTATGTAAGTACATGTACGTACTGTATGAGGGGAGCCATGCACGGAGGGGGGTTATCATGTGTTATCACGACAGCCGATTTTCAGCTCAATTGACGTCAAAAGGAGAACCGATGGAAAAAAAAAGGAAGAAGAAAAACCCCCCCCAAAAAAGAAAGATGTGGCTGTTCTACGTAATTCTATCTCTGCTGCATGAATATTGCCGTTGCTCCCGACATTTCCGTCGCAATTGAAATCTACTGGCCGTACGCGGGGTAGTCCGTGTATCCCTTGGTGGGGTCCTCCAAAGGTCCGTAGAAGAGGGCACGGTCATACTTGGCCAGAGGCTGGCCCCTGCGCAGCCTCTCGACGAGATCCGGATTGCTGATGAAGTATCGGCCAAAGAGGAGGGCGTCGTAGCGGCCGCTCTCGATGACACCCTGGTAGTTCGTGTCGTTGAAGCCGCCGGCGGAGAAGAAGGGCGTGTCGCCAAAGATGTCGCGGAAGTGCGACAGGTCGACGTCGGACAGGCTCCAGGAGTCGAGGAACTTTTGCTTCTCGGCCTCGGAGAAGACCTGCTCGAATCTGGGCTCGACGAAGCTCACGTACGAGAGGTCGGGGAGGCGGCGCTTGAGCTCGCGGGAGAGGTGGCCAAAGGTCTCGACGCGCTGCTCGCCGCGGGCCTGGTTGAAGAGGCCGAAGGGCGAGAGGCGGATGGCGAGCCTGTCCTGCCCCACCTCCTGGGCCAGGGCCTCCATGAGCTCGAGGGGGAAGGTGCAGCGCTTCTCGGGCGAGCCGCCGTACTGGTCGGTGCGCCTGTTGGAGTTTGAGCTCAGGAACTGCTCGGGCAGGTAGCCGTTGCCGCCGTGGAGCTCGACGCCGTCGAAGCCGGCCTCGATCGCGGCCTTGGCGGCGGCGCGGTAGTCGCCGATGGTGCGCTTGATGTGCTCGACCGACAGCTCGATGGGAGGGTAGTCGGCCAGCCTGACCGGAGTGGCCGTGTGCGGCGGAGGGTAGGGGTACCGCTCCTCCGGGTCGTCCCACGGCACGGCCGAGGGGGCGACGATGGGGGACCCCGTCAGGTGGGGAATGTTGGCCCGGCCAGAGTGCCAGAGCTGGGCGTAGATGAAGCCTCCCTTGGCGTGGACGGCGTCGACGACCTTCTTCCAACCCTCGACCTGGTCCCTCCTGAAGATGCCCGGGACCCCAGGCATGCCATTGCCCTCCAGGGACGGCGGCAGGCCCTCGCTGATGATGAGCCCGCCGTCGGTGGCCCGCTGCCTGTAGTGCTCGACCATGGTCTCGTTCGGCACCCAGATGCGGTTGGGCTCCTCCGCCGTCGACTGCGCTGACAGCGGGGTGCCACGGTTGCGCGTCAGGGGCGCCATGACGACGCGGTGCTTGAGTCTGATCCTCCCATGGCCAATGGTGAGTGGCTGGAAAAGCTTGGACTCGGCTCCGGACGGTATGGCGTCTCCCATCTTGAAAACTCGGCGAGAGTTTACTGGTAACAAGAAAGAGAAAGAAAGGTTCGAGGAGATCCAAACCGCAGTGATGGTTGTGGCGGCAGCTGACGGGTTGTCAAGACACGTTCTCGGAAAGTTACTGTTGACACATGCAAGAGGAAAGACATGCGGTAATTTGAGCTGTACGGGTTAGGAGGGATTTGTACACAATGTAACGTAAATCCTAGTGTGGTGGTGGTGGTGGTGGTGGTAATAGTAGTGGGAGGGGAACGTGGTGAGATAGAGAGAGAGAGAGAGGTGTGTTGGTTGCGAAGGGCCCATTTTTCGCTCCCCCCCCCCCCTCATCTCTGCCGACGACGGTTGTCATGTCGGCTAAGCAGGGGTTACTGCCTCATAATCCCGGCAATCCTGAAAAGCTCTGTCGATCTACTACATCAACTCATCTGACTTATCTGATTCGGTATTGGCGTCACCGTCCGTCTGCTCTTGGTGCCAACGGATCCCAGCAGCAGAGTGGGGCCGGGGCGGAGCACCTCGGAGGGTTTGGCTTGTTAGTCCGTACGGAGTACGGAGCACTGTGTACAAGTTGTCTCAGTGTACGTACATACGCCGAGCAGAGCTACTGGGATGAGCTCAGCATCACGTGCTTTCAGAGCGGCACTTGATCGTTTATATCTCTGCTTCTTATGGGCTGCTCGATGACGAGGACGTTCCCGAGCGGAGCGCCGTCTCCAGCGAATCTCCCGGCACTGGCAGAGCTCCGAGTTTTTCTGCGCCGCTAGACTGTGCCTGCTAATACGACTTGGCTTGTCGTACTATGGGTACTAGTACTCCGTACTCGTAGTCCCTCTGACCTTTGACAGCATGCTGACCAAGCAACCTTGGCTCTTTCTGGCTCGATACCGGGGTCCATCACAGTAGTGGACAGGAGTCCATCGGCAAGGCGAACCCAACAGGGGGCGAAGAGGGAGGGGCCAAACTCCTGGCGCGACAGAAGGAGTGCTCGTACCTGTACTGCCTGGACTGAATGCGCGCTTGGTTGAGAATAGCCTATTCCCTCCCCTCTTGCCGATCGTAACATAAGAGCTTACCTCCATGCTGTGCGTTGTACAAGTTCGGTCTCGGTTCTTAATGTATGTACTGCCTGCCGACCTGCGAATTCTAGTATGTGGCTACGGTGAAAAAGTCTTCTTGTCAGCATCACCGCGACGTGAACGGCATAATGAGGGCCGCCCGGCTGATTGCTCCGTATACATGAACTGACATTATAAATGTCTCTGTATTCAGATTACCCGAGGCTTCTTGGGCTGTGACGGGAACTACTACCCCCACCAGCAAAGTCGGCCTGGGCCGCTGCCTAGTACGAAGCCGTCTTTTTACTCCCGCCGACTAGCATGAAGCCTGTCGTGGTCCGCTACCAACCTAATACCGCACAGAGTGCCGTCATTGCTACTTGCGTTGAGTTGGAGACTGATGGTTCCCCGATTTTTACATTCCGTACAAGTCATTCGAGTTGGTGAATGTTGACAGGTCATCCAAGATGACCCTTTCCCGTCCTGTCCTGGAAAATGGGGAGAGTTTCCCTTGGACTCCGTACCACGTATTGACCTGCATCTCTACCCCCAGATCTTACGTGGTTCTCATCGAGGTACGACGGGGGTTCCGCACGAAAGCGACCGAAATATTTTCGCTGCGAGATGAGTGACGACGTACTGCCGTCAAAAGTAAGGAAAGGGGGAGGGGGGGGGATATAGTATTACTCGTAGTAGAACTCAACCCCCGCCATGCGTCTCTCCTTTTCTTCTTCTACGCTCTCGAGTATGAGCCAGTCTTTCGTGGGAACCACAGCTAGTACGTAGTTATTACTATCGAGATGTACTGAAGAGAAACAGCCCCCCCCCCCCCCTGACATCGCGGACCATTTCCAACCAATGTACCGTTACCGAGAGCCCGGGCCACCTCTCCATGTCGCGCCATCCTGACAATGCATATTACGACGTACATGTAGCATCATGTACGAGCGTGGGTCATTCGAAGTCCTCGCCCACTTCTCCATACTCTGTGGTGCAGAGTAATAATACGTCCTGAGGAGCGTGGAAGATAAAAAAGTACCACTGCGGTTGCTTGTTCCTCCGTAGTCGTTTTCAATCCATGATCCATGCTCCGGGACTGAATTTCCTGTCCACTACTAATCTCCCCGGTGGTTGCTTGCATGTGAAAAGAACTCGTCTCCAGTTCTGATGCTATTGTACGGAATATCTATCTMYSCCMT